ACCTAACTTAACCTAAATAATCCGATTCGTTTCTGCCCAGAGGGACTGCGACGCGCGTACGCGTACCCATTGAAATCTCAAATGTTTTACATTTCCGATTGCTATTTAGGAAATGCATAGATTTCCTAGGAAATGTGTCTAATATAATTTATTTTACACATTTCCGTGCGATTTTAGGAATTACATACATTTCCTAGGAATTGTATAAATGACGGATTACATACATTTCCGGTAACATATATACAAAATTCGCAAGCTAATTTCACGTCACATTTCCTTTCATATTCACACACTGGCTACTACTTGAGTGCGAATGCCAATTACGCGAATGACGATAGTGCGAAGACGGTTGCGCGAAAGCTTAAATATGCGATAGTTCATTTGCGCGAATGGTCAGTTGCGGGAAAGTTTGAATGCGCGATAGTTCATTTGCGCGAATGACGATAGCACGAAGACATATTTCACTCCCATGGCTACAGGTTGTTGCAATTCTTTGCAATACAAAGCTATCATAATAAACTATCTGCATTCGTACTCACGTAATACACCCCTTAAAGTAATGCATCCAAATTAGCACCCTTGATAAGAAATTTAAATAAATACAAAAGTTTTACCGTCTCCTGAATAATCACTCTTTATAAGATACGAGTTTGAGAAAGTAGGCACTTACACAAGCGTACTTATTTCGTACCAGGAAATATATGGTCCGAAGAAATATATGTAAAACGGCCCTATACAAAAATAGCGTTGTTGATATGGCACCCAAAATATTTAATAAAATTCCAGACACAATAAAAAAATCTTAGTGGAATGCAATTCAAGCATGTATTAAAACAATTATTAATTGACAAGTGTTACTATAGCATAGAAGAATATTTTAATGACAGTTTCTTAGAATAGGTAAATGCTGACAGTTGGGTACCATTTAGTTATTAATATTTTTAGACTTTTTACTTTTTTTTTTATTTTTTTTTTATTTTGACATTACATTTTTATTTAATTGACTCCGCATGCCACTTTGGCTTATTGCAGAGATTCCATAAAATTATTATTACCATCTATATCATGTACCTGTAATAACGAATGAATAAATGAATTGAATAAAAAAAGGCATCGAAATGAGTCAAAAACCACGTTGCAGAAAATTCCATAACTGGTGGCGTCAGCGTACACACCGTGCCGTCACCAAGGACCTGAACAAACCTCATATGGCGTGGGAGCAGGACTATCACCTCCAAGACCCGGGCAGACTGGCTCTTTTCGACGAGTACTTGGAGATGAGTGAGTAATTTTTATAAAGGTGGAATAAAGACGTTGGGTAAAATTTGAACTTCTATACTAATATGATAACAAAACAAAATTGTGCAGGTTGTTAAGTTTTTTTCAACTCCTGCAGTTTAATCTGTCAAATAATATTTTTTTAGTTCTTAAACTCTATCACGAAGGCTCTCTTTTTAGTTTTGAATCAAAATTCAATTGTTTATTCTTAAAGTTCTGTACACAGAACAGTCGTGTTTTCGCAAATTAAAATATGAAATATGGCTCTACTTGAACGCTCTACCTCCTCCAGCATGCTGCTTTTAATTAAAATCGGATGGAACCGATCGGGTAGTCTCGAAATCAGACGGGTTTCTGAACGAGAACATGTATCTGATTCCTACATATCTTTCTAATTTATGAGTTAAATCAACTATTGTTTCGATTTCAAATATCAAAAGTTTCCGATGAGCCAGTTGTGAATCCCAATTACGCGCCTCGACTCGGAAGAGACGCAGTTTCCGATCGGAAGAGGCAACCAAAATGAAATAAAATTGGCCATATTAAAAAAAAAATTGATTAAAATATAAGTGGTACTTGGCCACTTCTATTTCGATTTTATCTCTAGGTATGCTTACAAGCGATATTCGGTTTTCTCGGATGGCAAGGGACATCCGAAGAGGGTCCGAGTTTTCTAGATTTGTATAGTCTTGGACGCGTTTAAATCGCAAAGTTCCGAGGCGACCTGACACTGCACCTGTCACCCTGAGACATGTTGACAAGTCCATATACCTATTCATTAGCATCCTCATCATTCAAACCCTGAACCAAATCTTTCACGACGAGGTTTAATACTACTATAATTTATAAGGATAATTTAAAGAACAATGGCAAAATCATAGTCAAAAGAATTTGCTAGCGTCTTCAAATGTTTTAATTTCAAGTTTGAATAAAATATGTTAATTAATTAGGTTTTCAAATTATAAAAGCGGCCTATCTAAATAAAATAATATTTATAAGAAACTCTAATGTCTAATTAGTATGTAACCGGAGCGACATCTAGCCGCTAAAAAAGGAATTTCAGTACCTACGTATGCATATGGTCCACATTTAGATCACGTAATATCAAATGTACTGATTTGTAATAAGTTAGTAAAATATTAACTACTTCATTACAAAAATAAAGTCATAATTTCTTCTCCAAAATCAGGGAGATATGGCACGTTTCACAAAAAAATAATTTGTGTCCACAGACTATTGGACTGGTAGTCCAATAGTCTGTGGTATGTTATTAACTCAGTTTTTTGTGTTATGGCGTAACTTCAAGCCTTTTGACCATACCAGTAGACAAAATAATTTCCCCTGAATTTTCGTTACTCCACAAACGCCGTCACCATTCACTCTTCTATTAACTCTGTTTAAAGCTTCTGTAGTTTATTTTGATATAATAATGCACCGAATATATTTTATTTAATTACGTAACACATAACCTCCAAAACTTCAAACTGGAATATCTTTAATTCCTGACATCTCAGAGTAGTAAACCCAAAACGACATTTGTTCAGGAATTTCAACTCTATATTTTTACATATTTTTTCATAAACAGACGCAAAGAAATTATATCAACAAAAATTTATATGGGAGTTTACCATTGTCCTTTACCTTTTTAATAAATTTAACCGGACTTGTTTGAAATTAAAGTAATGCCTTTATGATCTGCTTTAGTTCTCCAATATGGTTTCGTAACTCTATTCGTGGCGGCGTTCCCTCTCGCTCCACTATTCGCTCTGCTTAACAACATTGCTGAAATTCGATTGGACGCTTACAAAATGGTCACGCAAGCGAGAAGGCCATTGGCTGAGAGGGTTGAAGATATCGGAGCTTGGTAAGTATTCTAATGGAGGAAGCAGCCCCATTTCTTTCTACATTAGTTCTAGTTATAGGGACCCTCCCTACCGACCCTGAGGGCACTATAACCTGTGCGTGCACAAGAACCTTATAAGTTTAGGTTCTGACCCCTGATCAGTCAGTGTACAGGGTTGTCACAGACCTCTGTCATTTGACTTCATCCGGTTCTTCGAGAGGCTAGTGCCTCGGGTGAGCCGCCCCGGGTACACGTACTGTACCCTCCCTATTTTCCAGATAGATATAGATCGGAGCAGTAGGCACGCTCACTTCCCGTTGCGCATTGCACAACTAGCAGTTGCCACCGCTAAGCCGTCGACTCTGAGTCCACTACCAAATCTTCTCATTGGTAGCGGAGCTGTAAGATACGCTCACTTCCGACGCCGAAAAAACAACGTCTCTCCAGTTCCCAATAACCTAAGGGGCTCGAGGGCCCGGAGGATATCTAGCTAAATGTTTATATACACTTAGGACGCATTTATTCAATACGAATTTCATCGCGTTCACCCCGCGCGGAGGCCGCGTTGTCGCCGCGCAGCGACCGCGTGCGTCTAACTGTCATGGCAAAATACGCTCTATTTGTTTAGCCTTTACGTTTTAACTTAAATGAGCGTCCTGGGCAAGTGAGCCTAGACTGGCTTGTATTATTCAGAGGAATTTAAATGCTGTTGCTTAGTAAATATAATTCAGCTTCGCCATTAATGTACATGAAAGCGTGGTAATAATAAATAATGCAAAATAATAAATTCTCACATGACAATCTCGGATATTCCTATAAGAAGTAAAATATTCCCAAATAGAATATTGATCGACTTTAATTAAACGTTTGCAAGTCGATAATGACTTTTCGATAGATTATGGTACAACACTAAAGTCAATTTTTGTATAAGCATGTAAAAGAACCTATTTCACCATTCGCGTTATCGGTCCGTTATTGTCTATGGGATCCGAAGTCCAAAACGAAAGCGTTGTGGCTAACGAACTGCCGACGGCTCACGGATCGTTTTGATTTCGTACGCAGCTGCGGTTGTATATTTTGAGAGTAGGCCTCCTGGGCGCTACGGGATCTTCTCTATTTGTTTGTTCGAGATAATTTTCTCGTTCTGCAGTTCGATTACTCAGTTCTAAATGATCGAGAGCTGGTAAGAAAAATCACATCGATGCTTATACAGGGTGCTTATAAATTTATCAAAAAATAAAATTATAATATTTTTGTTGTACACTTTCTAGATCTGACACTTTTTAGATCAGTATTTGTTAGTAAGGTTGGACGTCCCCCAAGCCGGTCGTGCATTTTGCATCGTATTCTTTTGTTACCGCACAGAATTATCACCGTTTAGGGCGATCTGTTTAAACAGTTGCAGTGCCACTCACAGCTTTAAATTACAAAGATATGACGTCACCCTGACATATAAGTTGATAAGTCTCATGTGCATGTAATTTCACCAGCACCCTCACCGTTCAAAACCGGAACGCAGTAATGCTCACATTGCTACTTGGCGGCAGAAATAGGAAAGGTTGCAGTACTTCCCTGGACGAACTCTTTCACAAGGAGCTTTACTGCTACAAAATATAAATATTTAGCAATAACCCTGTATGAAATGTTACCTTTATTTCTTTAAAGTCGACTCATATATTGTTAACTTTTCAGGTACGGTATCTTACGTGGTATCACATATGCAGCTGTAGTTTCTAACGTAAGTATTCATTCTCGTATGACTCTATATCGTAGGTATGTGGTTCTCATATTGTTAGTGTTTGCTAAGAAGTTACACACTTGCAGATTTTAGGTTTTAACGACTGTTTTAAAATTAAATTTTGGTTCTGACTAAGTTTTAGAAGGAAATGATTTTTAAAACAGAACGTAAATAATAGGGGTTAAAGTATGAAATTGCCGATTTGTACTGAAAATCTAAATTGTTTATTTTTTAAATTTTTAACAAATTTATTTAATCAAAATAGTTGCCATTATTATCTATACATTGCTGCCATCTAATGGGAGGTTATTAATGCCTTTGCGATAGAACTCCGACGATCTAGACTGCACAAACTGTGTGAAAGCATTTTGTACTGCCTCCTGGGAAGAAAACTTCTTGTCACGTAGATAATTGTCCAAATCACGAAAAAAATGGTAGTCCGTTGGAGCAAGGTCTGGTGAATACGGAGGATGACGAATGGTTTCTAACTGCAGTTCCTGAAGGGTCAAAATGGTTTCTCGTGCTGTGTGAGGTCTCGCGTTGTCGTGGAGCAATAATGGTGAAGATCGATTCATGAGTCGGGGCTGTTTTACTGCTAGTTTTGTCAACATGGTTCGGAGTTCGGCACAATAGACATCTGCCGTTATTGCTTGACCAGATCGGAGAAAACTATAGTGAATAACACCATGCTGAGACCACCAAACAGTTACCATTACCTTTTTATTGGTAAGTTTTGCTTTAGGACACTGTTGTGGCATTTGACCTGGGGTCAGCCATTGCATTTTTCTTTTCCGGTTATCATAAAGAATCCACTTTTCATCACATGTTACAATTCGATCCAATATTCCTTCATTTCTGTACCGGTTCAACAAGGCAACACAAGTTTCAACACGCGTTTCTTTCTGCAGATCAGTCAAATCATGAGGCACCCATTTTTCGTATTTTTTTATTTTATTGATTTGACGCAAGTGAGTCAATATTGTGGGTAAGGTAACGTTAAACCATGCCACTAATTCCTGGGTAGTTTGACTAGGATCGGCTTCCACTATCTCTCTTAATTCATCGTTATTCACCTGTGTGGGCGGTCTTCCTCGTGACTCGTTCTTTAAGTCGAAATTTCCATCACGAAAGCGTTTAAACCAAAATCATTAGTAGACCCCTCTCCAAACGGGATGAGTAACGCCATGGAGTATCCCTCCTTCCAGAGGCTTATTCGGCCTGCTTAATTTCCCCGTCCAGAGGGTATACTTTTTTAATGAAGCTATGATGACTCTTTATCCTCTGGATTACCGGCGCGTGATGGTGTAATGGGTGCCGCGGGTCAGTCTCTTTTTTTAAGCGTTCCAGGGAGCTAGTCACGTCTCTACGAATGTCCGGAGGGACAACACCAGCCAACGGGTACAGCACATCGACAGGGGTTGGTTTTAGACAGCCAGTAAAGTGCAAGTGTGATGAAAAACATTCTACGTTTCATGGGCGATTTCTCGACTCCAAAAGTGATGAGGAGTGTCATCAGTCAATTCTATACTCATTTCGATTATGTTAGTACACCCCAACTAAGATAAATCTTGAGCAAAACAGCCTCTGTACTTATTGATCAAGCTTATATCAGAATCAATCTGGTTCTGTGATAACTTTGGATTAACGCTAATCTGATCCTCAGATATTGATGGCAAAGTTGATGTATCTGATATTAGATTACAAGACAATATTGTGTCATTATCATGGCTTTCAATAGGAACTATTTTTCTAGATCGAGCTAAAACAGATTCTCCTTTAAATGGAGTAATTGGTCGGACCAATTAAATACCTGAATGTTACATTGACCTTCCTCAATACTATAGACACCTTCCATAACACAATAATCTAATTTTTCTCCAGTACGCACTCCTGTTTCTATATGAATGTCACAATTTGTATTACTGTCACCTGTACTTTCAACATAATTAACCATCTCTACTACAGAACTAGTTTTTATCCTCAAGACTATTCTATCGCCTGATGCATCTTCCCTTGCTATGAATTGTGACAATTCCGGTGGTAATTTACGTTTTAATAAATCAAGACCTTTATTTGTTTTAATAATTACAATGTCTGGTCGTTCCGTGAAGTTTTGCCCTATAAGCATAGAGTCTAATAACATAGAGGCTTCTACCACATAAGCATCTATGTCTGCAACTATTTCGCCCACAGTTAAGTTTATATGTGTTTTCTCCAGGGGAGTATATGCGCCATTTCCGAATCCTCTTATTGTGGGTAAATCATCTTGTGGTACAGGTAACAAGTTTTTTTGTACTACTTCTTGGCTAATGAGCGTGCAATCACTTCCAAAATCTATGTAAGAATTAACTTTTATATTTTTATTAATTATATCTTCTTTGTGATATTTGGAATCAGTTTTAATGGATTGAGTTATCACAGTCCTTTTTTCTAGCGGCCTAGTACTATTTAACGATTTATTAAAAAAACAATCATTAGTCTTGTGCCCCGTACGTTTACATGTTTCACATCTATTAAGAGGTTTTGTGCGTTTATTTGACGTATGTCCCTTTTCTTTGCAATTATAACAGATGATTTCAGTTCCGTACAGTTCCGTACATTTCAGTACCGGAAGGGCATTGATTCGTGGGATGCCCTGGTTTTTTACATTTATTGCAAATTATTTCATTGGAAGTGCGTTGTCTAAATGTCTTGACATTGGACTCTTTACACAGATCTAAATCGTGCAGACGAGGCGCTAGCCCTGATCATTCTATCTCGCCTTTTTCTCTTGTATTTCACATGCATTCAATAACATCATTTTATCATCGAGAGAGATCACAAAAATTCTAATAGAGTCGCTTTCATGATTCATTATTTACTGCCTTTAATACACAATGTACTATAAAACAGTCATTAGAACTTAAAACCTGCACGTACACCTGTTCTGTAATACACCGACTCTAATAGGCGTTTAAAAAATGTCGTCAATAACATGAGGTGACGTTGTCGTACGTATGTTTAACAATGCCGAAAAATCTGTGAGATTTCTATTATTGTATCTATTAACGTAAATAACCGTTTATTATGCGGACCCTTCAGTAATCCTGGAAATTCTGCAAGTCAATAGATTCAGGCGTTACTTTGGGGAAATTCGTGTTAATAATAATAATGATATCGACTTCTTAGGTTTTAGCGATTGTTGCACATAGGAAATGAAACTTTTCCGTTTACGCGACGGTGTTTGACATCAGTGTTTCTTTGTAAAATTGAAAATAAAGTATTTAATTAATAACTTTTGTAACTATAGCGAAAAAATAGGGTGGTTTACATTAATATTAGACATAACTGGTTGATGACTGTACCACCTCAGTCAATCGTGACCATGGAACCAGTAAAGGGCCCGAAACGTTGGTTTTGTTTGCAAAAACAAATATACGCGATTTAAATCCGGAAAAATAGTGTCATTTCCTATAATAATAATAATGTCACTTTTTCGACACACATAGACAACCACAAATTACACCAAAAATCACGAGAGAAATAAATGGGAATCGAACCTGGGACCTTAGCGTGGCAGATGGTCGCCGTTCGGTCACGGAGGCAGTTTTTACGGAGAACTTATTTAACATGTAATATTAATGAAAAAGAAACATGTTTACATTTGGTTTAATCCTATAAATATATCTTTACTTATTTTGTACATGTCAGCTTCTATATAACCTATGTTTTCACAAAGAAATGAATTATTATTGTTATAAAAACCAATCCGAAAAGTTTTTGGAATCTTCTATTTGCCAAGTTTTTTTGAAATCGGTTAACGAGAAGTGAGTGAAATTCAATAAATCGAATTCATCTCCACACACTGATGGAGTATTTTCTTCAAATTTCAATGGGACCACATCTGAGGTTATACTTTTAGTTCACAAATGCCGAAGTAATCGTGTAACATACGTACAAAAAACAACAGTCATATAATCGGATTGAGAACTCCTCCTTTTTTAAAGTCGTTCAAATAAATGACTATTTTCGCACAGTTACATTATATGGAAAACATCTTAAACAGGTAGTTGTGAGTTGCCAGTTGCCGTCCCTCGTGAAACAAAATTGCTCCATCTGCGCATCTTACTAGAGATGACCTTGTAGAAATCTAATAAATAAAAAATAAAAACAATAAATAAAATTGTTTATTGACTAACTTATTGTACAAATGAATAACTGAAGACTGAAGAATTATGCGAGTAAACGTAAAATATAACACATATACCTGTTCTATGAGAATCCTGTATTTTAGGCAAAAAGTACTGATTATACCATTGACTTACAAATAAATGGACGACGGGTCTAATACAAAAACCACGAAAAAAATGTCCCAAGTCAACCTATTTAAACGTAGTAACATGTAAAGGAATATGAAAAAGCTAAAACGTTGAATTTAAATTGTAATGTCATCGCAGTACTGTCTAATTTTACTTGCTTCGCTGTCAGTCGAACAAACGAAGACTAAAGCGTGAATGACGCTCTGTATACGATTTTAACGCCCTATAAGTTCGGACACTTGTTAGCGCGGACCCGACGTCCATATAATTGTAAGTCAATGACCTATACGCTTAAATTAGATAGAATTTTGGGATAATTAATAAGTTCTCTGTATCATCGTAGGACATATTTTAAAGGAATTCTTGGAGAATTTTCGTAACCTTTTTTTTTTACAAAAATTTATAAATTGATAAAAAAATATTGTACAAAAATGGCCCAAGAAACACAAAAAATCTGGAAATAAACATATGTCTTGATGATACAATTTTGTTAATGTTTTCATTAATATATGGAAGTGCAATGAGCTGTTTGAAAACTGTGAACTTAATAAATAACTGCCTTACAATTAGTACCTTATTTAAAACTAAATAACTGTTTTATTTTTCAGGCTTTCGTAATAGCTTATACAAGCGACTTTATTCCTCGTATGGTGTATAAATACGTGTATTCACCGGATAATACACTCACGGGGTATATTGATCATTCGCTTTCATGTAAGTATTTAGTTTTGACATGGATCGATAACTCAAGAAGACTGCTAGTCGTAAATAGGTACGTATTTAGTACCTGTTGGTATACCAGATGTCGCAAGTACTAAGATCATCGAATTATATAACCAGAAATAGATACGAAATGTTATTTAAGTTGTTTGAAATCATTCTGCCATATGATTACTGTGACAACTGCGCTCCGATTGGCTAGCCCGAATTCGAAACAATTGACGGGTGTCGTCAATTGTTTCACTTCAAAACGACCAGTTAACTTGAGCTTTGCTATACTGGACGAAAATTGCAAAAGTACATATTTCCTATTTAATTACAGATGAAATGTGTTTCCGTTTGTTTTGTAATTAGATATTTAGCTACTTTTCCCACACCACCGAATGGAACAGTCCCCCATTGTTAGATGTTATCATGATTACAATAAATACAAAATATTTATTGTTGGCGCTGTACGACTTATTACTAGTATTGCAAGGGGTAGCTGATTAAAAAGTTCTAATAAAACGAAAATAAAAATGTTTACTTAATATATCGTCATTTCGAAACTGCTTTGTTTTGCGTTGAGCTTTGACGCGAGTTTGCCGGAGATAGAAGTTGTGCTGGCCAGCGATCCCATAAGTGACGATCGTATTAGATTTCATTTTTTTAAATTTCCAATTGCGAACAACAAATGCCGTAAAATTATACGTAAAATTATACATTCCATAAATTTTATTGCACGTCACCATTGACAACAACGTACAGCAATTAGCTCCTTCAACGTATTTATGAATTAATACGAAACTTGAGCGGACAAACGTCAAAACGGCCATCATAGCGTGCCGGTACTTTAAATTATTTTACATTGTACAACTGCAAGCTTCTAGTGATAACTAACAAATCAACTAGATGGCGCTTATTGCATAGATTTTCGTGAATAAGTGCCAGCTATTCTTAAATTTCTTTAGGATTAGCCCCATCTACCCATATCAGGAAGCGTTAATTTATAAATTAATTTGTAACACACAATGTTATCTATTGACATATTTTGTCAAAGTTAAGAAAATAATTCTAGGTCTTGATCAATATTCGAATAATTATAAATATAAAATACAAGGAAAAGAAAACTGACCTCGTGGAAGAATGGCATAAGTGGAGTTACGTCAAAAACGTCTCGTAATGTTGTAACGCTATCGACTAATAATGTAGATAGAGTTATAAGAATTGGAGAGGATGTGGGTTATATTTTTCTGTATCTAATGGAGCAATAAACATGAATGAATGAAATATTATTTATTGCACATAAAATTAAAGTTAAAAATACAATACAGTAATTTAGGTATAAATATAGTAAGATTATGTGCAACAGGCGGCCTTATTGCTATGTAGTAATTTCTTCCAGGCAACCTTAGGATAAAAATTTGGGATGTGCATAAGGGGTGCAACCAAAGAATATCATTATAAGTACACTACATAACAATTATTAATAAACTCATATACATAGATAGAAATAGCCATATAAATATTTTTAAACATGTTTGACGTAAGTCCATTTATGCCATTCTTCCATGACGGCCAGTATAATCTGCTTCATCTGGCTGTTCTTCATGCAGGCGAACCCCAAGTTCATTTTCTCCCAGGGCAATGAAGGAGGCTCTCAATATTTTAAGAATTATACATAAAATGAACAACAGAAGGGGTAAAGAGGAACTTTCTTTAAAATTTTGCAATGTAACTTTTTCACTCATTGACTTACAAATAAATTTTCACTCGTTTTAATATAGACTACTACCAGGCGAATAATCAGCGCCACCTAGATATAAGACGGGATTTTGACCTTTGTGATAAAAAGAAGATAGCTTCTTCTTATACAGGTCAGGTAGGTTTTTGGAGATCACTTCAATGAGACACATGTCTACGCGTCGATCTATATTAATTTAATATCGTGTACCATATATAGAAATATCTTAGTCTAATTAATAGGTAAGTATCACTACATCACACCTTTTACAGAATTACTATCTGTAGTATGGGTATTAGCAGTCGGATTGAGTTATTGGTCGATGCTTTTCATTGTAAATAATTTGATGGGACAATAAAAGGACAGAGATTCGGCCACGGTCCACTATTTTAGTCTATTAACTAACTTACCCATGGAGAAATATTGTAGAAATATTGTGAGAAATATTTGTATGGCCTACATTTATTTCTCTCGTGAGTTGAGTGTAATTTGTGGTTGTCTATGTGTGTGTCTATGGCACCCGCGACACAAGGCTTCCCCTAGTGGCGGATATGTTGAGTGTGTGCGTTATTATTATTATTTAAAAAAAATAACTTCGTCTAAGTCTTTCCTTGTCTGTCTTCTTATATATATTTTTTAATAATATCAAGTGACCGGGCGAACAAGTCGTGCGCCTGATGGTACACATGCATGCACACACCAGTCCATAACAGTTGCAGTGCCACTCAGAGTTTTAAATCGCAAAGATCTGACGGGCACTGCCACTGCGCCCGTCACCCTGAGACATAAATTGGCAAGTCCCATGTGCCTGTAATTTCACAAGCACTTTACTGCTGTGGCAGTACTTCCCTGGATTAACTCTGTCACAAGGAGTTCTACTGCTAACAAAGTCTTTAATAAGGTTCTCTGTGTCTGCACCATTCTGCACCATACAAATCAATATTTGTGCTCATAAAATATGATCTCCTCGGAAGAGAGGGATTAGGCCATATAGTTTTCAAAGGCTTGTGAACTTAATTGACATGCAGGTTTAAAATCTCGGTGTTTTTCTACATCGTTAGCTAGAGCTACTGCTACTTAATTCATTTCGAACTGTCAAACATTTAACGTATATGTTTTTATTAATTTAATAAAAAATGTTTACATAAACGTATATATTTTCTTTAATTAATGAACAATTGTTTACGTTAACGTATATGTTATCATTAATGTTTTTGTTACTTACATGTTTCAGTGTTCAACACCTCAGACTACAGAGAGGATTGGGGTGCAGACGAAAATGAAGTAGATCCACCAACATGTGCATACAGGGGGTACAGGAACCCACCAAATCATAATGACCCGTATGGACTGTCGCCGCATTATTGGCACGTTTTCGCTGCCAGACTTGCGTTTGTGGTTGTATTTGAGGTCAGTGTACTACACTTAAAAATGCTTAAGTTATAGCGTTCGAGGAACAAGTCCGCAGGCAGGGAATTCCAGTCCTTTGCCGTTCGTCATATAAATGTGGAAGCGAAACGCTTGCGAATCTTTGGAATATCCACAATATAGGCATGGAACACTAGCCTACGTCTAGACGCACGATGATGGAATGGGAATGGCGGAATTAAATCATGCAGTTCCATCGAACACTCTTCGTGATATATCTTGTAGATTACTGATAAACAGGCAATTTTACGACAGTGTTCAATCTGTGGGGGACTTATGATTCCTAGATATGGTTATGCAGGTTATGCAACACCAAGAAAACACAGGATAAAGTCCCACTCACTTCAGTTAATATTGTTCTATAACAAGTACACTACAAAACAGTTTACAGCAATACAGATGGTAGATTACACACAAAGAAATAGAAGATGAAAGCGAATAAGTATGGGAAGATAAAACAGCGATAGAATTAGGCGAAAATATAAATAATTTGCAGAGCAATATCGACAAAACCTCTCCGGCGATAGCGAGGGCGCGTTCCCATTATGTCGTGACGACAGACAGTTGTGCAGTTGTCGTGGCTTGTATATTTAAATGAAGGTGTTCATATATAGTAAAAAACGATTAACTGTCGTTCACGACTTTTTTGACAGCTAGAACAACAGTCATCAGACGATAAATATAACGTTACGATAAAAATTTAACGACAAATAGTCGTAGCTTCAAACGATTCTGTCGTGAACCGATAAATTGTCGTCATGATCTAGTGGGAACAGTTAGACACGATTGTCGTTCAACGATAAAATAAATGTCCTTGACAGTCACGACAAACAGTCGTGATATGGGAACAGGCTAGACACGACAGTCGTCCAACGATAAATAATACGTTACGACACAATGGGAACGCGCCCTCTGATCACTCTCTTTGAAGATCGGCACAGGCGCTAACCAATTGCAAATGACTTCATAAGAACGCTATCTTTACAGCACGTGGTCTTCGGGCTGACAGGTTTAATGCAACTGTTCATCCCTGACGTGCCCACGGAGCTCAAAACTCAGATGCAACGAGAAGCACTGCTTGCCAAAGAGGCCAAATACGAACACGGAAGACGGAGACTTTCAACGGAATGTCGGCCGCTCATTACTCAGAAGAGTGAATATGGCCCTGGTTAGAAATTTCAATAACAGTTAGCCTAAGCAGTGTTTTTTTTTTAATGGAACAGTATGGGGAAATCCGAAACCATATATGATACAAGGAAACTGTCTTAGGAACCATTATGTTTTTTTTTTTGTTAAAACCATTTTGACATATTCAATGTTTTGTTTTGATCAAGCCATAAAAAAACAAAATTAATCAAATTTTTTTTTACTGCTGATCGACTCAGCTTTATCAAGGGATCATTTCATTGTGGAACAAAAAAAATCGGGTCCCGACTTACAATTATATGGACGTCGGGTCCGCGCTAAAAAGTGTCCGAAATTATAGAGCGTCAAAATCGTATACAGAGCGTCATTCACGCTTTAGTCTTCGTTTGTTCGACTGACAGCGAAGCAAGCAAAATTAGACAGTACTGCGATGACATTACAATTTAAATTCAACGTTTTAGCTTTTTCATATTCCTTTACATGTCACTACGTTTAAATAGGTTGACTTGGGACATTTTTTTCGTGGTTTTTGTATTAGATCCGTCGTCCATTTATTTGTAAGTCAATGGGTCTCCCGTTACTTTTTCAAATTTCTAATGTTCAAAACACCTACATAACCATTTCACTTCTCATTCTCCACAGAACGCCCAACTGGAGGTGGCGGCACGTGGCTCCGACGTCAGTCCCGTGCGTCTGACGGCCTTGACGCTCACGTCAATATCGCCCAACGGCCATCAACACCTACAATAACCCACTGACATTTACTTCAACGCGATCCGGCTAAGATTTCGTAGCTGGATAGACTTGAAAACTTTTGGGACCATCTACTTTAGAGCTGTTTTAATAAACGTCTCATACATTTGAGGCTAAAGTTAAAAAGTTAAAAATTACCTACAGTGTCAATGACAGACATGTTCTCCGGTTGAAACTGATTGCTAGGGTGTACCCGCGCAGGGACACACGAGACAGCGTGTAGGTATGTCAAGTCGCATACACTACAGCTTGAAATAGAAATGCATTTAGATTCGAAAATATAGTTTAATTACCAATGTGTAACGATTGCAAAAACCTAATAACTCGATATTGTAACAACCTTTGTATTCATTTTCAACGTTTTTTACACTTTAACTTGTACTCTAACAGATACTAAAAGTAATCTAACTTAGGGCCAGCGTTCATTGGCGGACGGGAAGGCAGAGGTTTTTGTGTAAAGCTTAATTTACATTACTGCGGCACGGAATGGAAGTAAATTATTGTCACGTTATAAATTTTATGTCTATGGTGTAACTATGGTAGTGCAATTCATTCAAATTAACTTTAGTGCTTACTTAAAACTGCAGATGGCGACACTTGGATAAAATAAAAAAATATAAAGTATTACATCTCGAAAATAGAGGTATGTTATACTAAATAAGAAGTATAAAATATGAAAAAGAAATGTAAAACTATTTAAATAACATTTAAGGAACGTTTAATTGAGAATCATTTAATAACAAGTCATGAAAATTGGTAAAAACAGTAAACTGTCGCTGAAACGAGAAAAATTCGAAGTTTTCTCCATACTTTTTGATTTGTTAGTTTGCAATAAATTGTGTAGATATCATTACTTGGAAGCCTTTTAAGCACTGAGTTTTACTTTAAATATTAAAATACAGATTCCACTTCTGTGCTATTTTATTATATATTATCGTATATAATCAACGCCTCAAAAAGACAACCTTGACAAAAATGTAATTGCTGCCATCTATTGACTTTTTGGGATATCATTACAATCAAATCGCCCCGGTTTACTTGGTGCCATCTATGATCATTGTTAAGAATCAAAATAAGTTTATTTTTGAGGGTACAAACAAATTGTATCACAATGTAATAGAAACTATATTAAATAATTATAAGCAAAAACAGTTCCCTACTGATAAAAATACAATAGCAAAATATAGCATTGACAACATTATACGACATTGTACAGACACACTTGACACATTATAGAAGCAATATAACATTACGCAACATAGATTACTTTAATAAAAAAACCGTAATAAAAAATGAATTAGATAATACCTTTTAACGTAAGCACAGTTTGAACAAATCAAAATGGTAAAGAGGAGAAACTTTATTAAAATTATTGCTCGCACGCCATATAAACGAATTCCGTTTGTAATTTTGTAAAGCGACAGGTAATTTGAATTAGTGACTCGTTACGTAAATGCTTAGCTGGAACCCTTAAGTGAATCTCAGACAGAAGCTCGGGGCAATCGACGATATTGGTGGTAATTTTTAACCGACTTCAAAAAAAGAGGAGGTTCTCAATTCCAACGTTTTTTTTTCTTTTTTTTTTGTATGTATGTTAAGCGATAACTCCGGTATTAGTGAACCGATTTTCATGATTCTTTTTTTGTTTTAAAGGGGGTATTTCCATAGTGGTCCCATTTCATTTTTAAGATAATCATCCACCTCAAAGGGTGGCTGTTCACGCATGAAGATTCATTTTTATAAATAGCGCCTAACTTTAATTTAGGAGTTATTACTTTTAGCAATTATTTCGTTGATTTTGGTATTTCTCCAATTCAAGGCGTTTTTCTCTCGATATACTTTGAGTAGTGAGAACCTATTTTTATTATCTCCAGTATCAAGTCCTGTATAGTGGCGAACTAGGGGATATTTCAATGAAACTTAGCAAATAGACGTAATTCCACGTACTTTTGAGGTCGGTTTTTTTAGTACTTTGTACTGAGATTATAATGAGATAGTTTATGTCTGCTATTTTACGTATCTGTACTAGTGTAGTATTTATTATCTGTGGTGTAACTTGCAAACTATTCTTAGAGAACTCTCGCGCTGTCTCGCTTTATGTCAAAAGCTATGTACAGTTTCGTTACAAAAAGTCACTTCCATTTCGTTCCGCGGCGATGTAAATCGAGCCTAATCGAGTTTAGGCTCGATTTACATCGCAGATGACGCGCGTAAAAACGATACAAACGCGATGCAGTCACAGCGAGTAAACCTTTGCATACGTTGACAAATTCAGACGCGCAAACGCAACAATCTGGTTTTGAGCATCTACGGCGCCGTAAACGCGATATGTCGTTGTCAGCGCATATAAAATACGCCATGTGCATAGGCTCTAAGTTATTTTTAGATTGGTGTGTCTAGTTTAGGGTCGAAACACAAAACTGCGATGCGTCGTCGAAGAAATTTACGAGCTCGCACGACACATCGCAAGAATTTGCGAATTGCTCCGCATTGCGCATTCCTGCGATGTTAGTCTTCTTTGTGTTTTTTTCTATATTTGCTTATCAATAACAGCAGTGCAACACTCTTTTAAGGATCCCTGTCGCTGCCTAGCTTAAAAAATATCTTTAGTACCGTGAACGATCGTCGAAAGAATGATCACCCGAACCGTGGCAGTGAGACCTTTTACCGCACGAAATCGCATCGCGCCGATTCGCTGTTTTGTATTTCGACCCTTAAAGTAGATAGGCATTTAAAGTGTTGAAACTAAGAAAATCCCCAGTTATTATACTATTTAGTTTACTTAAAGTTAATGTTAGATCTCATATTTATAACAAACTATAATGTATAGGTATATCATTGACTTACAAATAAATGGACGACGGGTCTAATACACAAACCACGAAAAAATGTTCCAAGTCAACCTATTTAAACGTAGTGACGTGTAAAGGAATATGAAAAAGCTAAAACGTTGAATTTAAATTGTAATGTCATCGCAGTACTGTCTAATTTTGCTTGCTTCGCTGTCAGTCGAACAAACGAAGACTAAAGCGTGAATGACGCTCTGTATACGATTTTAACGCCCTATAAGTTCGGACACTTATTAGCGCGGACCCGACGTCCATATAATTGTAAGTCAATGAGGTAAATAGATATTTTACCCGTAGTAGACCATGGATCAATCACTCGAGAAGACTGCTAATTGCGATACAAGACAACGTAGTCGGTTATTTAGTACCCAATGGTTCACTAGATGTTGCGACGAGTACCAAATGGCTTTTGTAACTAGCTAATCTAATTTCCAATGATAACAAACAGATCAACTAGATGGCGTTTATTGTATAGATTTTTGTATAGATATTTTTTATTTTGTTTAGGATTAACGCCATCTATCCATATTAGGAAGCGGTAATTTTTAAATCAGTTTGTAACGCACAGCGCCATCTATTGATATGCATATTTTGTCAAAGTTCAGAATATAACTGTAGCTTATGGACAATATTTGAATAATATTACAAGGAAAAAACTGAGTAGGTACTTGTATTTCATATTAAAGAGAAATTAATTGATATCCACGGCCATTTAATATAAATTACTTCCAGGCAATTGATCAGCGCCATCTAGATATAAGACGGGTTTTTGACCTTTTATAGAGTTGCTGTCTGTAGTATGAAGTTCAGCAGTCTTCTTGATTTAGTGGTCCATGCTGTAGATTAAAATTTTGTATAAAATATTTTATTGAAAAAATATAAGAAAATCAACAAGGGATACGCGTGTGGACGATAAACGTGTCAACGGCATATAAGATATATATGATAGATAGTTTTAATTCATTAAGATCTAATTCAGTCACCGGCTGTACTCTAAGTACTATAGCCTTTTTCTAAGCAGCGTGTAGTGCTTACGTGCCATTTACATAAAGTGTACTTTAGTTATAATTATTAATACAAAGACCGAACACTCAGAAAAAATTCGTTCGATCCGGCCGGATTCGAACGGACCTCTTCTAGCGTAGCGTGGCAGACGCTATACCAACTAAGCCATGGAACGCACTTCTAAGTTTCCTATATACTTGTTGTCGCGTATTTGGTTTTTCAACGACTTTTAAGCCGTAGCGCCATCTATGAGAAATCTATGAAATTATGTACTTTAGTTGTCAGTCCTCTTTATACACTCACTATATCGCACGTGATCAGGGGGCCTACCACAACCTCTTAAAACAATATTACTTTAACTTTAATCTTACATTGACTTTTCGTACCATGACGCGCTTAAAATAAGCTTATTATAATGTTAAAACTATGATGTTTTATTGGCAGCTTTGTGACTATTCGTTCACTCAGTTCGTTCTATGACGCGACTTTAACATTAAAGCAATACGTTCTTATGTTAAATTTAGCAATCTTAAAATAGTTACTCGGATGAAATGGAAACAATATTATTTTCAGTTTTATTGTCTAAATATTGATTTGTAATGATTAAAAGTTAAGTTGAACTTATTTGTTTACATATATCTCTTCAATAATTTGTTTATTTTTGATGTAATAGTACATAGGAAATAAGTTGTCGTTAAATAAAAATACGCGATGTTTATTTCGTAAAATTATGACAGTGAGTATATGCGCCTTGGCGACACTAACAGTTGACACTACATAACGTGACAATCAAGACTCAGCTTGTTTTATTTATTTTTCTTCATGAAAATGCGGAAAAATAATTGAAAATAACGTAATTTTAGTAGATCTTATATTATATATTTTTGGCAGTTAAACTTCTCTGAATGTAAATAATATTAAGTACTTTAACTTTATACTACGATAGGACGATTCGGAACATTAAAAAAGAAAGAGATGGCATTAAACAGTTCATATAGCGTTATTTCTTTCCTATTTTTAATAAGGAATAGACAATATTGGGAAATCATTCGTTAGCATCTAATAGTCTATGATTACGAATATGAGTAATATTATAATAAGCTTATTAAAAGCTTGCATTGAAATAAGATTATTTTTTGAAAGGTTATAGTAGGCCCTCAGGAGCATACGGATTGCGTGCCGGAAAGCCTGCACGTGCGCGATTACCTGATTGAATTTTTTTTCAACTAATGTTATTTCGAGCGCAATTACTCGTGTTAGTTTTGATTCATGAGTTCAATCGAGCAGTCTTTCGGTGTAAAGCCGGTCTGTGTAAAGCCCTCCATTGTCTTGAGAGGTGATAGGAATAATGTGAGCCGAACTGGCCACACATTGGTTATTATTATTTAAGAAACTCATTAGTACACTTTAATGGGTGGTGATAAGAGTTTCTACTCTTATCATCACCTTGGGCTCAACGGGCAACACACTGAGT